CTGAGATCACCCAGGTCTGATCTGGAGCAACAAAACGTAGTCATCCCTGCTCTGCTGGGAACGCTTCAGGGCCAACATGAAGAAAATATATGGAGATTTACCACATTCAGGAAGGATTTAAAAAAGCCATCAGACAGGCCTTGTCATAGCTGAGTCCCAAAGAAAGAGAAAGAAAGCTGCATGCTTTGTAGTCTGAGGTTTCTTAATGCCTAAATTTATTGCAAATGTACAAGGGTAATTTTAGGGATGAAGAAATGAAAAATGAGAAGTTGAGAGAAGCTATCTATCTATCTATCTATCTATCTATCTATCTATCTATCTATCTATCTATCTATCTATCTATCTATCTATCTATCTATCTATCTATCTATTCAACTTATATGCCACCCACTCTATCCAAAGGTCTCTGGGCAGCTCACAGTTGAATAGGTAATATATAATTCTGTAAGGAGCCTTATGTTTTTCCAATCTTGCTTTGGGCTTAGTATCCTACAACTATGTAAGTCTAGTTTCAACAGTAAAAACGCCAGGGGGAAAAATATCTATGAAGATCCCTCTGTGGACAGGAAAGCATAATGCTTATGGTGGAACGGAGCTTCTCAAGACTTTACCCTGGACTTCCTTCATGATTCCAAGACTGTCATATAGAGGTTACTTTGAACATGTGTGTTCCCTTCACTCCTGAGTAAAAACAATGAGGTAAGGAAGGAAGTAGGCCACAGTGGTTCTATACACACACAGAAGTGAAAATTTTAGTAGGTGCAGTTTGCGATGTAATTGGGATAATTCTTTTCTCACACAATTATGAAAGGTGGCACATCCCAGTCCTCTTGTATGTGGTCCTGTCGTGGAAGTCAGATTTTGGAAAAGTTACTTCTTTCTTTCAAACTTCAGCTCTTAGACTGCTTCAGCCATTAGGGCCAGAGGGATTCTGGAAGCTATAGCCCAAAAATTTAACTTTTCAAAATTCTGGGACAGACTACTATTGTCCATCTGAAAGCTTGCCTGCTCTGTTTGACTTGCATATTGTTAACTAAATAACTTTCAAATATATTGCATCTGCCATAGTATTTCCTCATAAGGAAAACAGACTGGAAATAACTATTAGCAGGAAATGTGTATTGTATACTGGCATTCTGTTTGCTTCTCTGTACTGTAATAAGTTGTCATGGTAAGTTTCACTCATTCACTGAACCATACAATTTCATGCAATGTTACAGATGGTGAACTTTATTCTGGAACAGCAGCAGACTTCATGGGCAGAGATTTTGCTATTTTCCGTACCCTGGGACACCATCATCCAATCAGGACAGAGCAGCATGACTCCCGATGGCTTAATGGTAAATCAGACATACATTTTATCCACTCTCTGTGTTCTTAAAAAATGCATAAATTGAACTTTAGCATGAAATGCGGTTTTTCTTTCTGCCCCTATTAATTTTTCCTCCTTTCCGACCATTCACCACAGTGTTGCTACTGGTCAATGAAACTGATTAGGGTTGGTTATAGATATGTATTGTGCTTGTAGCTATATTGTTATTTGTAGCATTGAAACAGAGGTGGTTAATGTCTCTATCCTTGGGAATGGACCTCTTCTGTAAACTGTGATTGGATAACCAGAAATCATCAAACTAAGGATAGCACATTTTCTTTAACATATATCTTGTAAAGAATTGAGAAGAACTGAGAAAGAGAGAGAGAGAGAGGTGATGTGCAGATTTCAGAGAGAATGTTGGAAAGCATGTTCCAGTCCACAGTGTACCAGTTAACTATCATCTATCCTTGTAAAACATGCAGGAACAGGTTTCTGTCATGCTCTTTCCAATATGATTTTATTGGAGAGGATTCCATACAAGCACATTAAATGAGTACCAGTCAAAACTGCAGTGTTTACGAAGCAATTGACACTCCTGTTTGGTTGGCCTCTCTCTATCTTTTTTCACAACAATTTGCAGGTGGGTGAGCTCTCCAAAGTTCTCCTGAGAGGTGCTTAGAAATGGTTTGAGGTTTCCGAAAACAACACCAAATGTAATGACTTGGATCAAATTTTCCAAGTCTTCATACAGATACAGATTCTAAGGAAGGTCTTTTTATCTTCCATAACTGGCTCACACAAGATTGCAAGACCAACCCTAGTGCTCTTCTCTTTCCTGGTGACTGATTTCCAATTTTTCTCCACTTTCCCTTTCCCTTTGCATTGTCTGGGTGTTTGCTTGCTTCACAGAGTCCTCCTTTCCAAGGTAAGTGTGTCTCTTAGGTTTTTTCCATGTCCGTGGCACCTTTGAGCTCAACGTTCCTGTTTCGAAGATCTCAGTACATTTTGGAAATGATATGTTGTCCTTCCAAACATGTGGCTTGTATTTGCTATAAGCCACATATTTGTGAGAGTACACCCACAGCACCTTTTAATCTCTCAGAAGCTCCAGAGACCTCTGGGTAGTGTGGGCGGCATATAAATTAAATAAATAAAATACTAATAAAAACAAATACCGAAAGTGCAGAAGGGCTGTCTTGAAAAACTAGGTTTTGCCCATGGTTGCAAAGAAAATCCACAGTGGGCTTGAGCTAGAAGTATAAACTTTCTTAAAAAGGGAGAGGGGAGAAAAGGAAAGGAAAGAAAAGCAGGGATGCCTTTTAATTAAATGGGCACCCTGTGCCAGACATAATGACTCGCTGATTGGGAGCCCTGTAGGCGCTAACATAATGTAAATAGCAACTATGAACCTCTGCCAAACATATGGCTTTGCTTGATGTTTGCATCCTGAGAACAGCCATGGACAATCTTTGTGAGTTCTGTTTGTAAAAGAGGCATTTAAAAAAAGAAGCTTTGTTGTTTCATTTTATTCTAATTTTTGTCAACGTAACAGGACTTCAGAGAATATTCAAGTAAAAAAAAGAGGGAGGTGGGTGCCCTCCCCCAGCCTCCTTTCCACAGGCCAACAAGCATAGAAGCTTCTCAAATAATATCTTATTCTCCAGCTGATTAAGCCCAAGGATAACTAGGCCTCGGCAATGCTGAGCTCAGTCATGCAAGTAAAAGCCTCTATTGTGCAGGAGATCCACACACTGACAGCTGAGGCAGGAGGATTTATACAGGAAGAGAGCACAATCTTTGTCCACAGTCCCTGTGGCCTCACTGCTGAAATCTTGTCATTCCTCTCTCCTTTTTATGAAGGCATCCGTTGGTCTCTCAACGCTCAATGTGAGAACAGATTTTCCCTAATTAGCATTAAGGATACATCTGAGAGAATGAGGAAACTGAAACAGGCTGAAGATGGAGAGAGGGAGAGGTTTGCCCATTTGAAAGCCCCTGAGAAATTAAATGCCACCCAAAACTGTTATAAAATGTAAAGGTCTGTGAGTGGGCACGGCACATCAGCCTGCACCTCTAAGACTCCAACAGCGTTGTGACAACTTTTACACATAGCTTTGGGGCTAAAGCTAGTATTTACTCCCAGCTAAGCCAGTTCTCTTGAATTAATAGGACAAATCAATATTTAAGAAAGTCCCATTGATTTAGTGGGCCTACTCTACCTTGGACTAGATGTCTATTCTTTGTAATTTTTGTAGGGATGCAAGGAAGCCCCTGGCCCACTCTATACCTGAATAAAGGGCATACAGATTGGTATTACCAAGTGATGTTCCTAAAGAGGCATTCCAACACACTTTGTCCCTGGATCTTTGATATCATCGGTGTGTTTTTGAATGTCCAGAAAACAACAACAACCTATACACATACATTCCTTAAAAGAAGTAGTTATGGTGGTGCAAACATCTATCACCTGGGGGAGAGGCCACACAATGTCCTAGCTGTGTGACTTCTCCACTCAAAGCCCATACAACAATAATCATTCTACATCGACACATTTTCGAAATCCCAATAATATAGTGCTTTTTCAGTAAAGTTTAGTAAACTGAGTGAGAGGCCGGAAGAAGGAACAAAGAAGAACATTTCAAATGCAAATAGGCTATCTATACAGATCATCGGTGTGTTTTTGAATGTCTAGAAAACAACAACAACCCATACACATTCCTTAAAAGAAGTAGTCATGGTGGTGCAAAGATCTATCACCTGGGGGAGAGGCCACACAATGTCCTAGCTGTGTGACTTCTCCACTCAAAGCCCATACAACAATAATCATTCTACATTGACACATTTTCAAAATCCCAATAATATAGTGCTTTTTCAGTAAAGTTTAGTAAACTGAGTGAGAGGCCAGAAGAAGGAACAAAGAAGAACTTTTCAAATGCAAATAGGCTATCTATACAGCAACACAAGTTTTTCTTTTCACCTACTCCATGAAATGGCTGGTAGAATGGCTGCAAGGTAATATAATATATAGGACATAACCTCAGTCTGAGCCCTCCTTGTTCCCTCGGTGGTTGAACTGTCCAGAGGAGAATGTGGACTTTATTGGAGAGTTTAGCTGTCAAGTGCCTTATTCTCTGATGCCAGCAATTCAGCCTATCATGTTATTTTTCATTTACATTTTCCTCGGTTCAACAGTATTGATCATTTTTTAATTCTACAAATGCTGAATTGAATATGATGTATCCATTATGGTGTTGATCCATCCCAGAGGTATACAGCAGCTCCTTGCTCTACCTCACAGTTACCCCAGACTCACACAGATACCCCTAATATGGTCTGTTCTGCTCATATGTCCAAAGACAGTACACATACCTATTTTTTTTGCTCTTCAAATAGGTATTGCAAACCAAGATCACTTTCCATATCAGTGAGTTTGCTGTGGAAAAATAGTGCATAATGGAGCACTGTAGGGCACTTTCTAGAGGAGAAATGTGCAGGAAACCAGGTGTTCACCAATGGGCTCTGCCTCACGATGCCATTCCAGTAGCATCCTGAGGAGATCCTTTGTGTCTACCTCAGGAGACAGCTTGCTCTCTCTTCCAAAGAGTGAGAAGCACTCCCCCTGCTGCCACACACTTCCATACACAAATGTGCTTTGTTGGGTTTTTTTGTTTTGTTTTTTGGTTGGGGCATGCTTTATACCTTTATTGGCATAAAAATATGTGACAGATCATAGGAAGGGCAACTTTCAATGCATGACTCAAAGCCTGTTAAAATTCAGTACTAAAGCAGAATTATTTGTTTTACCATCCCCACCACCACCTACAATTTTCTTTAAAAAATATGAAATATCATTGAATTGTCTCTTAATTTGGATGGATCCTTACTTCGTATAAGACTTAGTAAAGCTTCACTGTATAGTTTATCCCTTCTGTTTGATTTTTAAGTGGGAGAGTAGCCATGCTGAATTCCCAAGAGATGTTGTCCTTGATAATCTTTACGGTTACATAAGCAGCTGAATGTTATAGCAGTTGAGAGAATAAGAAAGAAAGAAAGAAAGAAAGAAAGAAAGAAAGAAAGAAAGAAAGAAAGAAAGAAAGAAAGAAGTCTACCATGTTCATTTTAGACCACAGGGCAAGGGGATTTTCACTGTTCTTCTGGTGAACACTGCACACAAGAACATCTTCACATCTTAAGGTCAGCCAGTGAGACAAAGGCTAAGTGACAGCTCTCAGGTTTAAATATTCCTGATCAGAAACTACTCTTTCTGGATAGCGGGATTCTACCACTGTGTTCACCTTGACTGCAAAGGTTCCACATTAATTCTGCTTTGAACGCATCTAGCAAGCTGGGGCACCATTGAAAGGTCTCATCAAAATTAACAAACCATGTACATACTGGCATAGGATCCCCAGAAAACATTAACCTTTGATTTTCGTCCAGTTACTTATCTGATCATAACAGCTGCAGCATTCACTATATTAGATAGGAAAAACATGCCAGTGTCTGTGTAAAATAATAGATACAAAGCAGATATCTGAAATGATACTATATAAAAACCAGTGGGAAACTCTTCCATTGCCCAGGACACTGTCTCTTTGATCTCAAGGAGGACATTGTTAGACCAAAGGAACTTCCAAGACAGATATTTGTTGGAAACAGCTGAATAGGAATTAATCAAGAGGTTGGCTCTACCTCCTGGAGCCTGAACAGGAGGACAAGACTTTAACCCCCCCCCCTACATACAGTCATCTGAAAAAGAAAGTACACCCTAAGCCCCTTCTACATACAGTCATCTGAAAAAGAAAATACACCCTCTTTGCATTCTATGGTTTTATATAATAAAAATCATCTGGTCCTTAGCAGGTCTGAAAATTAGGTAAATACAACCTTAGATGAACAACAACACATGGCCTATTATACTGTGTCACAGCTACCCTATGTATGAAGTTCTTTGGGTGGCATACATTAAAAACTTTTTAAATAAAATTGGAAAATTGAAATACAGTATAAAACACATTTTAAAAA